AAGGAAGTCATTATGAATTGAGTAAAAGCCAAACTGCAGCTCGTTCTGCTCTCTTCCTGTCGCAGGTACAGCTTGTTTGCAGTGGTGAACCACCAGGGGACACTAGAGAGCGGCCATTACACCACTTTCATCCGACAGCACAAGGACCAGTGGTTCAAATGTGACGATGCAATCATCACCAAGGCTAGCATCAAGGATGTTCTGGATAGTGAAGGGTGAGAACGTCAAAGAGCTTGAGACACATTTTTGCTTTTGTGTTTCTGCTGCTGACTGACCTCGTGCTGCTTTCATCTCCTCAGGTACCTTCTGTTTTACCACAAACAGTTCCTGGAGTACGAATAAGTCCCCGCATCAGCACGGCCTGCAGGATGAGCTGAGGGACGACGCGAGGATTTGTTTGTAACCAATTGATGAGAAAGGCAAAGAAACACGTTGTCATTGGCAAGTCCCACCCTTACTACACACCAGTCTAGTTACTCTGTGTGACATGCAACAAGGACACTGTCTGCTGTGCAGGAGAAATCCAACAAATCTGACTGGATGGGCCCTAAAGGAACTTTATGTACTTGAATTCAGGGGATGAAGAAGAAAGCAGCAAGTCCGTGTACAAGTCTGCTAAAAAAAAAAGAAGAAGAAGAAGAAAAGAAAAGGAGTGCAGAGTCCTTCTACATTTTTGTTCTCTTATCAGACACAAATGCAAGAGAAGCTTCACTTGATCACAAATGCTGTCCTTCACCAATGTCTTGCTACATGCTTCTTGCACAGCTGCATATGTAGGGGAAGAAGCAGAGCAACAGCTTTACACAGAGCTACAAAGCTCTGTTGTGATATTTTTCTTCCCCCCTCTCTTCAAGGCAACCTTCCGGACACAAGCGCACTTGTCTAACACAGCTACGCTCCTCCAAAAGACCAAATATTTCAAGGGTGGAAGTTGTCTTCGTATGCTTTCTGTTTTTTTCCAGAGTGCAGCTACTGGGGAAGGGAAAAAACATGTTAATCATAGTATTGTGTCTGAAGTTTATTCCATTTTTATTACTTGCGAGCTTGTAGTTATCGCTCAGAAACCATTTTCCCTGCGAAGGACATGAAGGATCTGTTATTTTCTGCCTGTCTCCTCGTCAAAAATGGGGAAATAGACAACACAGTAAATATATTTTTATACATACTGCAATTTAAAAACATTTGTTTGCAGTTTTGCGTTCTCCCTGAACTCTCACGTTGTTCATCTGCGTTACATTGTGCTGTCAATCTCATATATATCATTTTTTTTGAACACATGACTTTCATGACACTGCTGCTATAGGCTGCTTCTTTTTTTTTTTATTTCAGTCATGTTCTCCACATTAATGAAACATTGTAATGATGCTGTTTCAGGTAAATGGCAAAAGAAAGAAAGTAAACAAAAAAGGAGGAGAGTCTGTACAGTGGGTCACAGGCTCAGTCCTGCAGTGTTAACTGTCGGCCGCATGTTGCTCTAATTCAGTGTGTTTATATGTGTGTGAATGTGTGCACGTGACTATGCTCGAGAAAGAGGAGGATTAAAAAAAAGAAGCAAAAGAAATCCATTAAAAAAAACCTCAGCTTAGGTGCGTTTATATAAAATGTGTTATTGAGTGTAAAGAGACAAAAAAAGAGCGCGTATGTGTCCTGTTTGTATGCACGTGTGTCGTGCGCGTGCGTATGTAGCGTATGTTCATGTACTGAATCAGTACTTGCATTTAGCATGCCGTCTGAGCTGGGTATCACAGTTTGATAGGATTTTTTTTTTTTTTTTGTTCCACATGTTGATGACGTGTGTAAAAGTATATATGTACAGTTTGTATGTAGAAACAAAATGGTGAAACCTCAAAGTTGATTTGTTCTTCTATATTGCTGGATCCAGCCACGGGGTTATAATCAGAAAAAAAAAAGAACGGTAATAATAATATTAAATATCTTGAGCCAGTCAGTCATTCCACAAAAACACATGTAACTGCTGCAAGAACTGGACACAGTGATGGAAAGACACTCAAATAAAGAAGAATCTATATCTGTAAAATCCTTGTGTGTTGTCACTAATTATGTAAGATTATATTTATGTGTTTATTTTAGTGTTTGTGTTGCTATATTTTAATGTTATATTGCTGATTGAAGGGTTTGAAAACTACTGTAAAAGATTCATGGTGACAACTAACATCAGCCCAAACACCTCATGCCTACTGTCAAGCAAGTGGTCATGATTTAGGCTAGCTTTGCAACCACAGGACCCTACTGTGCATTCACTGAGTCAACTTTAAGTTTAAACGTTAGCTCATCTGTGAAAACAGCTATGTCCAAATTGGGTCATGCAACACGGAAGTGACAGAATGGCTGAAAAAGCGAAGAATCAAGGTGTTGCAATGGTATCAAGAAGGCAATAAAATTGTCTAAAAAATGTTAATAGAAAACCAACAAAATATTTTCTTTTGGAGAAAGAAAGCAAATTATATAACTGACAAGTAAAAAAAAAAAAACCAAACACATCTTTAAATCAATGAAATTACAAATACTTTTTCCGGCTCTCATTGTTTTAATGTTTCTAAATTAAATCAGAGTTCTCATTCCCGACGCGTAACATACCATCGATTTGTCACGGCTCGAGGCGTGTCATAGTAACGGAAAAGGTACCCTTCCGCATCCTTATGAAACACTCCAGGTTCTTAATTGAAGCGAATGCACTTCCCTTTTTATTCGCTTCGTGACTTTCTATTGCAGCCTTAACCTAACCTTAACCATAACCTTACATTTATAGGTTCATTCCAACTTGCTCTCATGCCTCAGAATGCGTAACAGACAGACAAATTGTCACATATCGTTGGTATGTAACGTGTTGGTATAGCTCGTTTGCGTCTGCCGTTTACAAGCTAAAGAGACCTTCACTTGCTTGACATCTTAAAGTGTTGATTATATTTGTACCCTTTGGTATAAGGCTGTAACAGCAATTCATAGCAGAACAGTATGAAACTTTGCAAACAAACCCACTGGGGGGAAGCAGAGTCACAAAGCCTCTTTCTGCATTGCTAAAAATATGCTCCATATCCGTTTTTCACAAAAGTCAAGTCAGGACCACCGTGAGAGTCAGACGCAGGAGCAGTGTACAGCAAGCGCTTCAAATTCTTATTAGAAGACCCAGAGCAGAGTAAATCCTCTGAAATGCTGACAAGGCGGGTGCTTTTCTGCCGTGCAACAGAACAACAGCGTTACAGACATATAGTCACTCGCTTCACTTAGGAAGTTTGAGGCATAGTCTGTATAGCCGTCATGACACTACCCATACCCACATTATTATTCATCTCTGGCTCTCTTGCACAGCATGTTGGGGTTTTTTTTCCGGTCACCCATAAATGGCTGCAGCAGATGGCCGCCCCTCCCTGAGCCTTGTTCTGCTGGAGGTTACATCCTGCTAAAAGGGAGTTTTTCCTTCCCACTGTCACCAAAACTCTTGCTCACAGGGGGTCAAATTATTGGTGGGTTTTCTCTGTTTTCTTTGTATTATTGTAGGTTCTTTACCTTACAATAGAAAGTTCCTTGAGAAAACTGTTGCGATTTGGCACCATATAAATAAAACAAAAAAAACCCTGAAAATTGAATTTGGACGCTGACTCACGTTGCCACTTGACATCATGATGTCACAAAGTCACACTTGTAAGCTTTACTGGCAATATTTATTCATTGTAGCTATTGCAATATGCGGCCTGATGATTTACATTTACACATTCACAATGACATTAAGCAAAAGCAACATGACAGAAAACCTATAAGCATGTTTCATATGCGGAAATATGAAGTGAAGCATAAAGTTGTATTCATGTTAAAGTGTGTTATTTTCACACCTCACTCGAGGGAAACAGCCTGCTGTTATTTCCCTTTAATTCCCGGTTTTCCGAATTGGGTCGATACATATAGAAAAAAAAAAAAAAAAATTCCCACCTGATCCCTTTAGAATCAGCTGGTTTTTACAGCATAAAGATGACTAGTAGATAAGATGGCTTATCTACGATCAAAATGTAGATAATAATAAGACCTTTCATATCAATTTCATACTTGTTATATCATTTGACCCTTTAAAAAGTGCACTTTGGGTAAAATTGATTTGGTTTCATGTGCTTTCTTATGAGGGTTTAAAACATGCTGGAAAAAGACAAACACAAATTTAAAGGTGACAAATTTCAACACACACACGCACACGTGTGTATTTATATCCTTGTGGGGACATCTCATTGACATAATGGTTTCTCTAGCCGCTTACCCTAACCATCAAAAATGAATGCCTGACACTTACCCTAAACGTAACCATAACCTAATTGTAACCCCAACACTAAAACCACAATTTGAGTCTCAAAAAAGCCTTTACACTCGTTGGGACCGGGATCGGTCCCCACAAGTATAGTAAACTTCCAATGTTTGGTCCCCACAAAGATGTTAATACCCGTCCACACACACACAGACACTTATGTAGTTCATAAAAATCCTTAAAATCAGACACTTTTTCCTGCAAAGATATAATTAAAGTTTTTGTATTAAAAGTGAGTGTGAAGGTTTCAGTATAAAGGATGAGTGAAGGAACTGAGAGGTCAAAAACCACTTTGTGAACTCTCATTGTGAAGCTGGGAATTTTCACCCTCTCCATCTTTGTGTCTTGCAATTGTACGTTATCGGGGGAGGGACTGATCATTAACACTCTGGGTCTGAGTGTAACACAAGGCTGAGGGCTTGGTTTCGCCCCCTGGTGGTCAGTAAATTCAACCTAGAAGCTATGTCCATATTATATTTATAGTGACGGACTGATTTGTCACATACTTTGTCACATATTGTGATGGTGTTTGTAGCATTTCGTTTTTGGTTTTTTTTGCTGTTATTGTTGGTTTTGTTTTTTTTTGTTTTTTGGGGTTTTACCCCCCAAAAATATCCAGTATATCAACAACCTTCTCTGATGGATCGGAGACACGGTAATTAATTCCAGTTCCCTTGCACCACTAAACTCATCCCACTGCTGCCTCCTCCTGGACCTTCATGTCGTAGGTTCGGAAGCTCTGCTCCGTCCAGCAAGCCCCTCCGTTATGGGTCTGGGCTCTTTGGAGGACAGCTTGCTGGTAGAGCACAGGAGGGTCTCTGAGCGTCCTGCTGTGGGCCGGGCCTCGCACGTTCATATCGGGGAAGCAGTGGACACACACGCAGGTCTCTGTTGGCAGGGAGTCGTCTGATGGCTCGAGGTTAACGGGGCAGCTCGGAGACGTTAGAATATCTATAAGTGAAGAAGGCAGACCCTCGTTAAACTGCTCAGCGTTTCCAGTGTTTTTTTAGTTCATTCCAGACTAACCTTTGGAGCTTTTTCCAAGTTGCCTAGCTGGAATACCAGTCTCCTGTCCCGGCCTGGCCTCGCTCTCTTTCTTCTTCTTGGATTGACTGCCCTTTGTGGATCCTGGGTTAGAGGTTTTGGCCTTGCCTCCTCTAAAAAAGGCTACAAAGGCCAGAAACAAGCTAGAAAACAGCAGCGCCAGGCACACAGCCAGCAGGGAGTAGATGAGGATATCAGAGTCTTTCAGTGTGGAGGGTCCTGCGACAACTTCAGCTAGGAAAGAAGGAGGACAGATCTTTTGATTGAATGCTTCTAGATTCAAATGTCAGGTATATAAGCTCTGAACAATATTAGTCAATCAGAACAATTTGATAAAATTTTGATATTTTCCAATACTTCCTTCTTTAAGGTTTAAAAACACAGAAAAACCCCATCAGGACAAAGGTCACCGAGGGGTCAGCACTCACTCTGGCAGTGTGTGGCGCATTCTGGAGGATGTGTGCCGCAGATCTCTTTACACTCTATACATTTGTTTAGCAGCTTATCGTAGTAGTGGCCAGGTTGAGTCTTACAATTTACAGCCTCTGATGCAGAAGGAGACAACGTGAGAGGAGACGCAGAAGACATGTAAGAAACTGAACTGTGTGGGTTTAAGAGCATCTCTGCTGTTGCTATTACCTTCAGGAAGAAAATCAAATATCAGAAATACATGTTACATGTATATGTCTTCAAGTTTATGTGTAATTCTAGCTGGATTTGAAGTTGCAATCTTGGAAAAGTTGCATGAAAAAATGCCCCTGCATGTGTCTGTGAATGCATGTGTGTGCTCTCACCACAGAAACTTCTGCATCTGCTGATTACAAGTGATTTCTGACATGTCCCCAGACAGTCCATACACCCCACCAAAGCATCCCGATACTGACCTTCAGCACAGCCTCCACCCATCGGCCTGATAACCCTCACACTGAAACACACACACACACACACAAAGGGACCAAAAGAAATGATTTTATTATTTTCTTTCTGTCTTTGTGACTTCATCTCTATGAAAAGTTTATTTATAAAGAAACTTTACAAAGATGTGTGGCTGTAAACGAGCAGCTGTGGCATTGGCTAACTACAGATGTGTAAATTATGTTGGTTATTTTATGTGCATGTTATCCTGGTATTTATATATATGAAAGCAAAGCAGCTGTGATATGTAATGTATGCAGTGTGGATTAGTAGAAGTGGGAATCACCATACATCCCTC